ATTTGAAATAGCTTTTGACTTTAATATCACTTTAATCCGGGTTCACAATATTTTATATGCAATGACACCGCAATGCACTAAGGCAGGAGTGGGCAACTCCGGCCCCCCAGCTGTGCTTTAACTACAAATCCTAACATGTCTCTACCTCTGGGAGTCATGCCTGTAGCTCTCAGTCTTGCAATGCCTCATGGAACTTGTAGTTCCACAGCAGCTGGAGGGCCAGAGTTGCTCACACCTGCACTAAGGCAATACACCTATGCTGCAGGGCAATGTGCAGGGCCATGTAATTCCGTGCTTTGCCTTTCTAAAAAAGGGTCAGCTGCGGTTTTAGCTGCACTGGAATGCATCGGCAGCCTCTTCACAATGAATGAAATGTCTTAACACAATGCACAAATATGAACCTGCCCTAAATAGGCAGCCCTAAATAATATCCTGCCATGAAAGTCCTTATGAAGCCTCTTCCTGTCACAAGGTGACAACACTGTGTTCCTGTCTCTCAACTGCTCATCATTTGTGGTGAGCACAATGGAGACTACAAGTGGCCATTTCAACACACAGGCAGGGTCTATCGTTGTCACCATCAGGAAGGAGCCCGCAGAAATGCAATGCAGTCAGGGCCGGTGCTAGACTATTTTGCGCCCTAGGCAAGATCAACTACTTGCACCCCCCCTCCCGTGACGCAACACCCAATCCCCCCCTGCACAGCCCCATTCTCCTGCGGGTTAACTTCTGCAGGCGACGGGTGGATGTAATTTAATTTGAAATAGCCAATAGCAGACTAGATATTGAAACCCCACCCACTGAGCAGAGGAACGAACCTGAGAGAGAAAGTTGTCCCTCAGTTACGCTCCTCTGCTCAGTGGGCAGGTGCAATAGCCAGCCTGCTATTGGCTTTTGCAATTTAAAATAGACGGGAGGTGCCATGGGGGGTGAATGGTCTAGGCTGCGCCCTAGGTAGCAGTGCACCCTAGGAAGCAGTGCGCCCTGGGCACTTGCCTAGTTTGCCTAGTGACAGCACCGGCCCTGAATGCAGTCATAGCTGGAGTGCTTGTTTGATGGGAAGAGGCTACAAAGAAGTTGCATGAGATCTACAAACACAACGTATTTTAGTAACATTATTCATTAAAAAATCAGGCATGGCAGTTTAAGAGTTAGCCATGACATTTGGTCTGTATTCACATGGGGCTTGTATGTGTGTTCTGGCATTCCTGCAGTAGGAACCTACAGATTCTTGCGCAGGAATCCCAGTTGTCATTTAAAGAGATGTCACCAGCACACCAAAAAATCCTTTCAGGATAACCATGTGTTCATATAATAAGAACCATGTCAAGTAAAAATGAGCCCTTTCGGGTCCCTTCATCAGGCTTAACATTGACAGAAGTGTACACAGACATTTTAACTAATATAGACATACAAATGTGGAGTGACAGGAATCCCAGGGCTGCCTGTTTAGAAGCGGCTGCTGTACCCATGAAGTTAATTACTGGGTGACAGCCAGGGCCGCATTTCCCACAAGGCCACCGAGGCCCGGCCTCAGGGCAGCAGCGAGTAGAGGGGCAGTAGGGATGTGGAATTCATAACATAAGTAAAAATTAAAATAAATAAGTAAAAAATTATTGAAAAAATAAAAAAGTGGTAAAAAATTATAAAATTGAAAAATGATAAATTATAAAAAAAAGTAAAAGATAATTAGATAAATAAATCACTTGTATGCAGCCTGCAGTTCTGCCATTCTCCATGGGGAGGGGGAGTTGGCGGGTGGGGGGGGGCATTGAGGAATCTGGCCTGGGAGCAGCAGAGAGAGTAAATCCGTCCCTGGTGACAGCAGCCGCATCTGAACGGGCACGCCTGGGATCCGTAGGTTCCTGCTGCAGGAATCCCAGAACGCACATACAACCCAAGTGTGAATACGACTTTACAATATATAATGAAAACACTCACTTCCAATATTTCTGATGCCATGTAACTAAGGTTCTTCAATTAAAATATAAGTTAATCAATGTTTACGCACACCTAATTATCCCGTCGGTGTAATTGGGGACACAACAAATATGTATGCGTGTACGGTGACTGCCATAACCTGTGACTTTATCATTTGAAATGACTGAAATCCCATTTCATAGACAGCCCTTTGATTTTGCATTTCTGCCACATCAAAGGCGACGGGAGCCTCTGCCACAGTAAAGGAATACACATTTACTTGAAAGAAAAACAGATCACAGTGTGCAGACGTAACCCTTCATGAGGAAACTTTCAAAGTGAAGGTATTCCAGGGGAGATTGGGGAGCAGTCGGTTCCTGTGACTGCCGGACTCATCTGAAGTGCAGTCATTATTATTATTATTATACAGGATTTAAGTATACGGGGCCACTGACATGGTGGGTGCTATCCTGTGCTTGGGTCACATATGAGGGACATGGGAGGCATCAAGCTGCATCTCTTCTCATCAGACTAGGGAATGACTACAAATGAGAGTTTTAGTTTTCTGTTATAACAGCAAAAATCTGGAGTTTTCAGGGGAATTTCCCCATTTTGGAGTCAATAGAGAAGGCAAAATTAAAGTGACATTAAAGGATAATTCCCCCCCCCCTCCCCCCAATCTTAATGTCGGCAGTTACCTTAAATGATGTTTCTTAATCCGATTTTCTTCTTCTTTCCGTCCTTTTCAGCCTTCATTCTCTCCAGCGCTGTGGCGGCTGTCCGATCCAGCGCTGACTCCTCTGTCCTTGCTGGCACTTCCGCTCCAGTGGTGTCTGCATGCGGGTGCACGCGTCCATAGGCTTACCTTGCGTCTCCCGGCCGAAAATCCGAACTGCGCATGCACCCGTCCCAAGATGCTTTGCGGCCGGCCCGAGCAGTTTCAGATTTTTGGAGACGGCAGCGCGTGGCGAAGACACAGGTAAGTTGAAACCGCTGTTAACGCGTTTTAAAAAAAACAAAAAACTTTTTGCATATAGATAAATAAAACAAGTAGGTATCTCCCAGAACACCCAATTGCACTAAGTCCAGGGAGGTATATGTAATTATTTATTATCCACTGTTTGTAACTTTTTAGACCAATGAAATGTTTTTAAGCATATTGAGATCATGTAAATAAAATTCTTTATTATACTATTATTTATGACCAGTCATCATGTCTCGTTACCAAGCTAAGCCATGGTATCCCACATTCATCATTGGACACTTTTAAAGCCCCATTATCACCTTGTTTTTTCATGTAACTTTTTGCATATATCTACTGCTTGCTAGCAGTAGATATATGCAAAACAAACCGGAGGGTTTAGAAATGCTGCAAGGGTCTCAAACCTGCGGCCCTCCAGCTGTGGGGGAACTACAAATCCCATGAGGCATTGCAAGATTCTCACAGCCACAAACATGACTCCCAAAAAGAGATGCATCATGGGATTTGTAGTTTCACCACAGCTGGAGGGCCGCAGGTTTGAGACCCCTGCAAGTTTAAGGTGTCTTTTGGTTCTTTCTGAACAGTGTTTTTATATTGAATTTCCATAAGTTCTACCCCACTCCAAATAACAATATTGATCTAGAAGTTTGTAAACATACATATTGATAATGTAATCAAAGGACGGGATGTACAGGACAGGAGAGTATATGCTGGGACTTTACAGCACATTTAAGGATGCACTGGGCTTTAAACAGCTCACGAGGGAGACGGAAACTCCTTTTAAAAGCCGCCGGATTGCCTTGTTATTTATTTTCCTGGCGCCAAGATGGCAGCCTATGTGGTAGTAGCCCCGCCCACATGTATGCTGCCGTGGGCTGGTGCCAAGGAAGGAAATATACCATACATTGTGAGTATGATGGAATTTTCAGTTTTCCTGTTGCCAACGTGGCAGCATACACACAGACGGCGTTACTATAACATGTATGCCGCCCTGAACTGGCACCGATAAAGGAAAATTACGAGGTGAGCATGACAGAATTTTCCATTTTTTTGCAGAAAGTGTAATAAACCCGGAAAGTCACAGTACACAAAGGACAATCGTTCTGAACGGCACCACAACGCACCTTGTCAGCAAGCTCATCATTGTAACGCATGGTAACACAGCGTCCATCTGTGTCTATTCATCTGGACATTTTGGTGCGTTGCTGGCCCGTTCATTAGAATGCGTGGCCTAACCGAGACGCATGTTAAACACGTGAAAAAAAATATGCGCTAACACATGTTTGTTAATGCAATCCACCGGTGTGGTGTCAACCCAACCTATATATTTCTGTATTATGGAGGCAGCCATTGCTGAAGCTCTCCTTCTGTATAATGCTACTTGCCTGGCTGTCATTTCTTTCTCAGCTACAGGTCTTAAAAAATCAGCCCCCATTCACACCTAAGCATAGTGGGAACACGTGACGCACGTTCCCTCACATTCGCGGGCTTTTGTTTCCCATGCTTGTCGCACACCGCCATTGATTTAATTGGGTTGCTGAATGCACGCCAGACGCAGGAAAGTAGTGCATGTAGAATATTCTATGACGTGCGTTCTACGTTCTTTTTTTGTGTGCGTTCATATGCACGAGGAAAAAAAAAATTGCTCTGCTGCGTTTGGGGTGCCATTAACTAGTAATGACAATGCAATCGGCTTCCGCGTTTGTGCGCTTTTCGTGAACACGCATCAAAGCACACACTTTGGTGCGCGTGTGACGCACGTTGATACGCCTAGGCGTGAATGGGGACTTAGCCTCTTATATATTTCAATGTCGGTTCCCTTTCAGAACAAAGCCCAGTTATATCGTCCTTTGATCCAATTATTAGACACTTCCGTGCTACGAAAGGGTTAATGCTAAGACGCCTGTCTTGCGCTCGTCTTCCATTGCCCGCCCACTAGGGGCGGATCACACCTAAGAGGATGACAGGAGCCACGCCCTTCACTACGGTGTAACTCCCGGCCCCGCCCCCTCCCTGTCAATCCTTACGTGTAAGCACCCGCAGGTTCGCGATCTGCCCGGCCCCCGACTGGACACGCCCCGTGGGCGGGGCTCTGTCAGTCAGTGCACGGGCTGCCGGCTCCATGCGCCCCGGGACCCAGCGGAGGAAACATGAGGAGCGGCTGCAGCAGCGGGGCCATCCCGGGCCTCCTTCTGCTGCTGGTGTTGGGGAGCCGGACTGGCAGAGGTAAGGGGCGGAGCGGAGCGGGCGGCATCTTTCGGGGTTTCATCCTCATTGTCCTGTGCCACGACTCGCCCTCCATCACATCCAGGCCGGGCTACATCAGCACCAGCGCTGTGTATCCGATCATCACACCTGGCCTCCTCCTTCCTCATCATGTGTCTTCCTCACTCCTCCATCAGTCTGTCATTGCCTGCTGATTGCACCGACATAGACCCCTGCATGACCCTCCCCTCCCCCCATGT